CCTGCTTCTAACACATTAACTTTGCTCTTAACTTTAACTGTAACTTTTGTTCTGTAAATCATTTGAAAATAGTTTTTGTTTTCCTGCCACAAAACATACTCTGAAGTTAAAATTATTAACAATTTTTTTTTTTATCAGGGACAAAGAGGAAATCCAGGTGAAAGAGGAGAGACGGTAAGGTTTGAAAGAAAATTACACGCTTACTTAGTCAGACAAACAGATACTATGATCGGGTTTACCTCTGTAATGCTAATCTGAACTAATAACTTAAACAGAGAGGTTGAGAACACATCACTGGTTAAATTAAAGTGAATGGTGATTGCACAACCATTGTTTCTATGCTTGAAGGAATAGTTCCCTTAATTAATTTACCATAGATATCAATATCTTTCAAGAATCCAGTGGAAAAAACACTTCTCTTATCACATTAGTTATGGGTTTGGAAAACAATTATGAGTCAGCTACATTTTGTCTTTAACTTGATATTTGCTTCCAACGTGGTTTTCTCCATTACGTTGAAACTGGATCAATTTCATGTCGTGAAAACAAAATCAACTCTGGAAAGCAACAAAAAAGTATAAAGTATAGTAATTAAATCTAATGGGTGTTAATGTGTTCCATTTAAAACACATTAACACCCTTAAATACTACTACAAATATGCATCAATCATTATGTTTTGAGTGGATGTTTTAACTTGCCGCACTATCTACAGTATCATATGCTGCACACGCAGTATAGGCTGGTGCTTGAAACACTAGGTTCATCCATATGCTTTCATGACGTTAATCTAATTATTTTCTCACCAGGGAATAAAAGGTGAAAAGGGAGAGCATGGTCGACCAGGGGAACAAGTGAGTGTCTTTGATCAGCTTTGTTGTCTTTTAATGTTGTGCAACTTAAGCTAAACCTGGACGATATATTCAATATACAATATATTAAACAAATGATCTGTCTTATATAGCAGGATAGCTCAAAAGCTGTAACTTAGTTTTCAATGTGGATAGCGCCACCATGTGGCCATTTGTTAAACACTTTGGACTTAGTGGCTTAGCAACAAAAAGGTTTTTTGTGCATCCTTGGTGCAATATATATCTAATCTCTGCATATAGGCCAAATCTATTTTCATGTATAGTGATTTACATTTCAGATGTTTTGCAAAACACATTTGTTTTTAACCACTAATCTTCACCCTTTTTTGTCCATTGTTTGGTACATTACAAGTTCTTTAAGGCCTATTTGACATAAAGGACCATAATTCCTGAACTCATGCAGGTGCAATTGTAACTGAAAGACTTATCAGAGTAGAACTGCAAAATGTGATTTTTTTTTAGCTAACAGGTGGTGCTACAACAGACTGATACTCAATTAGTATTCATGAGTCTGTCTTGCTTCAAATTCTCATCCATATTAAACCGTAGTATTTCCAAGATTTAGGCGTTTAGCAAGATTGTCTTCCACTGTGCATTTTCATGCAGATTTAAAAGCTGATTTTCTGAGAATAGTGCAGCCTTGTTGGAGGCTTGTGCTGTCTTGAATACTTTTGGGTTTAATGACTTATTCTGATTTAATTGACAGGGTTCCACTGGTCCAATGGGACTAAAAGGAGAGGTATGTTAAGCTGATTGCATTAATCACTGTACCTCTATATAATGTGAATTGCTGTGCTAATGCTAACCCTGGGGTGGTATTTTTGCCAGAAAGGGACAACAGGGGATCCGGGGCAGAGAGGTCAAGAAGGTCAACTGGGACGGCCTGGACAGTCGGGTCAGTCAGGCCCACCTGGCCCCCGAGGGCTAACAGGGGACACTGGTCTACCTGGCCCTCCTGGACCTGCGGGAAGATCTGTATGTGTGCTACACGCTGTGCTAACATCTTTACTGTTGATAATGGTTTTTATTCTGATGTTGACTAACATAACTGAGTGGAGGGTCAAAATGAAATGAAAATCAAAATGATCCATCTCTTTTCATTTCAGGCAAGTGAAATGTCAGATAATCACATTCGACAAATCTGCAGAGAGATTATTCAGTGTGAGTAACATTATAGACTGACTGATCATGTGTTTCTGTGTGTTTTCAACACACATGTGAAATCTTTTCATTGTCATTTCATTGTCATTCTCATCATAGCGGAGCTGCCTTTATTGTTGCTGGGCAACCAACAGAGTAGCTGTACCAGATGTCACAGCCGGCCTGGATCTCCTGGTCCTCCAGGTCCAACTGGGCCCCAGGGACTCAGGGGTCTTCCTGGACTTAGTGGCTCCAGGGGAATGCCGGGCCACCCTGGTCGGCCAGGGTACTCTGGTATTAATGGGCAAAAAGGTAAAACCAGTGTCAAAGTCCACAGTATGTCAATAAAGCTGTTTTGCAGGATGCTCAAGCAAGTGCACTTGTGTCTGTAGGAGAACCAGGGTTAGACGGTGAGAAGGGGAGCCCTGGTCGAACCATCATTGGAGACCAAGGGCCACCCGGGCCTCCAGGTAAATAATGTGACTAATTATTCAGTTTCACTTATCATTCAACTTTACAGAAAGCCATGTGGAAGCTATTTACAGGGGGACTTCTTTCTATTCTTATATTTATGCCACCAGTTACTTTTGTGTACCATTCCTTTAAACCGATCATTTCTTAGTATCTTTATCTTCTCAGGTCCAATGGGTCCACAGGGGTACGGTAAGCCAGGTCCTCCAGGTAAGCCTGGAACCCCTGGTCTAAACGGAGCAGAGGGTAAAAGTGGTAATCCTGGCATCCCTGGTCAGCCTGGGGTGTGTGATCCATCCATGTGCTATGGTAGCATGATGAGGCGGGATCCTTACAGCAAAGGGCCAAACTATTGATGTAATGCAGTGTCACTGCAGGCACCAGTCTGGAGCTGATGTGGAACAAACAGCCATTCTCAGGAAGATCTCATCTTTACAGTTTCTCTCTGTCGTGGAAACAGAACGGACCTCTTCTAACACCTATTATGTGATCTCAGACAGTCAACAGAACTAGATCCCAACACATTTTCTCCGTTGGTATTTTGTCATTTTATTCACGTCTTTGAACATGCTTTGAGGTTTTAATGGTGTTGTGACAATTAATAAATGGCTCAATTTAAGAGGTTATTTTCTTGTATTTTTCAACCTGGACTTTATTTTTCCCTGTTTTTGTGTCAAGATGACGGGGACAACAAGTTTTGAATTTGGCCCAGTGAGAGCAGCTACAACGTAATCACAAAATGTCCATTAAAAGTCCTACTGACCCCCTCAGATTGTTAATATATATTTCTCATAACACGACCATACAGAGAAATTATATGTTTTCTGTTCTTTCAGCTTGATCTGCTGTGTGTCTAACAAAGTCTCACTCGAGGAGAAGTCTAGTTCTGAAATTTCAGGGGCGGTAAGGTGACTTGTTGTAGGATGACAAATGGGAGAAACGGGAGCGCAGTAATGCCAGCTGGGTTTGTTGTGTAAGAGTACAGAGAGCGTTATGTAAAAGATTTTTAATGTCATGGGTGAATATTTAGTTGATTTGGCCTTTGAATTCGATTGCCACCCATATTTGTTTGAGCCGAGCTGTACTGATGAAGACAAATTGAAGAGCAGACCAAGAGAGAGCAAGTGGCAACAATCAAAGTACGGTGAATTGGCTGCTGCAAGGTTGCAAATCTCAGGAGACTGGTGGTGTTCCTGTGGGGGCTGTGACCCTATGCCCACAGAGGAGATTTCACAGGCCGGATCAAGCGAAAGGTACCGAAAACATAAATTTTTTCTGTATGGTCCATTCCATAATGTTGTTAGACAATTATAATAATAATTTGTGCAGCTCAGTGGAAAAAAAGCATGCATTTTGACGGTGCACAATTGCCTGCAACGATTATGTTGCAGCCCATTTCATGGCTGCAGGCTGCAGCACTCTTTCACAATACTGAACCAAATTCAAAACACGTTGCTCCTATTAGCCGCTTTAACACAAAAACATGGGAAAATATGGTTGAAAAGTACCGATGTCCTTTAATGAATCTCATCTGAGCACCTTTAATTCACGTACTAAATGTATGTCTGGATCTCTCTCTGGCCAGTGTGGCTGGTATATTTTCCCACATTGCCCCCTGGTGTTGCTTTATTGCATGTTTCTCTCTCATTTTCACTGCACATTGGTTATCTTCCGTTAAAAAAAAACTAAAAAAAATACATAAATTCTATGTTCAGTGAATTGTTTCACCATAAATTATGTCTGAAATTGGCATGTTTCAGCACAAGACTGTGAGTTAGATTTCCTGTAGCTGATTATAAGCTGCTGTAAGCCTGTGTTCCTTAAGCATTCAGTTTGACTGTTCAGCACTTAACTCTTTATGAAAACCTTTTACAACAGCTAATATTGTGTATCACCAAAGATAAATTAATACTTCTCCCCCAACACAATACCCATTCATTCTCGTGTCATTTTATTCCAGTTAGGAAGTAAAGGTTTCCCCATCTAAGAACATGCTGACATTTTAGTTTGAAATTTTGTCATTTATGTTCCCGGGGCTTACCTTTCATTACTGTAGCAGGTATTTTATTGTTATTTATAAAAGAGTCATAACTGTGTATTTCAGCAGTGACATGTCGTAAACAGCTTTTGTAATTTTATTATTTTGTGTTAAGGTGACTTTTGTATGAATCTTTTTTTTTTTTACTAGAATTAAAATATCTTAATGATTTGTGAACGAAGTTTGTTCTGTGCTTCGAGCTTTTACGTTGCAGGTTTATTTCAGGACTCCATCACATCATCAATCTAATAGTTCTTCTGGAAAATTTCTTTTTGGAGTGTAGTGTGAAATGTTTCCTCTTTTTTTTTCACCGCAGCATCAAAAAGAATGAAGTGTGATGGTCATGGAAACAAAAAAAGAGCTCATCACCTGGGTCTTCCTCTAAGGACACAGCACTAGGAAACTTGGACACATGTGCAGCTCTGGCTAGAAAGCTTCTGTAGGCTGTGTGTGTATGTGTGTGTAACAGGGTAATAACAACTGAAGTGTTGAAGCTTTGTACACTAGATGGCGCTATGTGGTAACATCCTAGCATATCCAGGAGTTACTTTACCTAAGAAGGAGCTTCTTTTTTTTCAGTCTGGACAGCAGCCACCCATCACATGGAGAGCTCTGACTATTTATGTTTTTAATTATCCCAGAGTACTTACTTCAACATACTGTTTACCTAACGCTCCTCTGAGAGCCAAGCTTTCTGTATTAAGGCTCTTCGCTTTAAATTCATTTTTTCTATACTCAAAGTCAGCTTTTGTAATTCTGAAAAAGAAAATCCTTGTAGACTATCCTGTTGTGGGTCTGTGGCTCTTAATACTGAATTTGCAATATCTTTGTGTTATTTTTCTTCCCTGATCTGTTATTTTATGGGAATTATGTACTGTAGTATCATTTGAAGTGCAGCACATTACACGCTGGCCCACTTGTTTGTTGATGTATTTAATAAAATAATTTTTTACAGCATCCCAGAGGATCATGTTTAAGCCCTTATTGTATAAAAACAGGATCCTTGTTGTTGGTGCTGAATGCAGCTGGAGCCCTCTCCTATAAACACGCGGACTTCAATAACTTGAGGTGATTAAAAGGCTCTGTCATTATTCTTTCACTCGTTAAGACGGGCTCTCGGATTTCAAGTGTCTCCTTTTACACTCCCGAGCCGCCACATTCATCATGGGACCGGGCTGAAGTTTTATTGCGGCCGCTAGAGGTGGATGCAAAAACAAAAGTTGAGTGTGGGATGGACTGAGAGGGCAACTAGCCCCAATACACTCTCAAAGGGGGGGAGAAAAAAGTAAAATGCGAGCCGGGGCATGAGTCGAGAGCTCTTCTCAGTTCATTTCTGACACAGTTCAACACATTTCATCTGCTGGAAAACTCCGGGTTATCCCTCGACGTTATGGGCGTACCTACGTGCTTCTGCATCACAGAGGAGTAAGGTGAGGGACGGGGTCATATCTCCATAAATACTGTGCAGAGACTTTGGATGGACCCTGGAGGAGTAAATACTGCCGGAGGAACTTCGCGCACAGGAGAGGAGCGGCGACTTTTCTGCAAGCTGATACCTCATTTGTAGAAGGGCTGACTGGTTTAAAAAAAAAAAGAAAAAAAAAAGAAGCCTCCTCAGTTACCACCGTGAAAGTTGTGGTGCCTCTCTCTAATATGGAAAGTCTATGATTCCGTATTGGCAGAGGTATAAAGTATTTTATTGTCTCACAGAGTGCGATGTAGTTCAACCTCACACCCCAGAGTGAACTATTTGTCAAGATGACAGCGCTTACACCTTTGAACCGTGCTGTGCTTGGACTCGCGTGGAGCTGCCTTAGTTTTCTGTCCTGCGCTCATTGCGGGTTAAGTGACAACCATGTGCACTCCAGTTTTATTTACCGGAGGTTGCGCAATCACGAACGCAGGGAGATCCAGAGAGAGATCCTCTCCATCCTCGGCTTGCCTCACCGTCCGAGGCCCTTCTCTCCCGGGAAGCAGGCGTCCTCCGCGCCGCTGTTCATGCTCGACCTGTACAACGCCATGGCCGTGGAGGAGGAGGAGGAGGAGGAGGAGGGGGTGCAGCAGGGCGCGGGGAAGAGCTTCGCTGCCAAGGCTCAAGGGCACTCCAGGAAAGGTTACTACAGCCCCCAGCATGCCGGGTACTCCCGTGTGGCGCAGCCTTACCGCGCGGCCCCTCTGTTAGGCCACAGCCCCGCACTCACCTCAGCGCACGACACCAACTTTCTCAATGATGCGGACATGGTTATGAGTTTTGTCAATTTAGGTAAGTGGTGTTAAAGCGGACTAATGTCTCACCTCTTAAAGTAATTCATCGAAATTAGAGTGCATCCGATGCCTGGGGTTAGGTGTTATTCAGAGGAGTAACACTTCAGTTGCAAAATCCACATCTTAAAAGTTTTTTAAAATACTTATCCAGCTCATGTTCCTCTCCATCTTCATTCCCTCCACTGTGAGGGGGAATTATTAAGGTGTAATAAGAATTGTACCTTTATCTGTGTACTTGATGAAAAGCCTTATGTTTTGTGCATTAAGTGCAATTTTCCAAACAATCCACTGCAGACAAGGAACTATAAAATACTGCAGCATGACAGCATTCATTCATGTAGGCCTATTTCAATCAATATTTTAATTCAGTAATATATGTATTGGCCTGTGTGTTGTGTTGCTATCGGCAAATGCAGTTAATTCATTCTGTCAAATTAATTTGACAAATGTACATTTGATCTGAGCTATGTTGTCCTATGAAAACTATAACATTTGTATTTGTACTGATCATCTAAGTTAACTTTCTGGACTTCCTCTCACTCAGTATCAATTATAGACTTTTATTTTTCCATCTAAATGTGTATGTGTGTACACTATTTAGACATCAGTCATTATCTGGCATGTGAGGCGTTCAGTTTCTTTAGCCTTGTGTGAAATATTTTGTATTTAACAGAATTAGGCCCAACATTTTGACCTTATCAATTTGTGCTGCTTTCTATTAAAAAGCAGCTGATCTGTATAATGATTGTGTTTGTTCAGTAGCCGTGACCCTTAACCCAGCAGTTCAGAGCAACTTATCAGATGACTGTCTGACCTTGAGAAAATTGGTCTAAATTATTTCCTGTTGTTAAAAGGGGGAGTGATATTGACTGATGCCTGCATATCTTGAGGTTTTGTCTCCAAGAGAATGCAGGAGCTCTGTTCTTCGTATTTGTGTTATTCGCAGCAGTTATTGTTCTTTAATGAGAATTAAGAAATTAAACATGCCACATGGGAAGTTACTTTAAAGAAATATGATGCCGCATTGCAGAATCCTGATTGAGTGACTTAAAAAATAATGACCATAAATAAAGTTTACATAACGCTGGTTTTGTAGTGGTAAGGATTTTAGAGCAAAACATGTAAAAGTGAATTTGTGTAGAGTTGCCTGGAAGTATAATCCCTCACCTTGGCCTGAGCCCATCTGTTTCCACTTACCACTATAGCAGGGCATGTACACTGTCAGCCTTGAAAGCTCTGCTCTCGTTCTGGGGACTGTCAGTGAAGTGTTCAATGGGGCTCTGTCTTTATTACAGTACACTCAAATATAGCTACTGACCTCAACTGTTTTAAAAATGTCTATGTGGCATTTTGTGCAGTATAATGTGCTTGCTGTAACCATTTGACCTTTCAGTGTATGAATAAGAACTATGCTATTGAAAGTCCATACGCATACAAGAGATTGTACAAGAGGATGTTAACGATGAATCTAATTATTTAAAATACGGGCCTGGTAGAACAAGCTGAATCCAGTTAATCTGCAACGGATCAAGAATGCACACAGCTCACCCTTACCACGGAGTTAAGTCATTATTATTTAATCTTTTACTATTTTAAAGTTGAATGCTGTATACTCTCAGTGGCACTTCTGCTTCAGATTACTGCCCGTGGCTAATATAATGGAACACGCTCAGTGGGTAAAAGTCAGACCTGACCTCTGACCTGTTTGTGCTAAGTAACCGCAGGCGTTCTCTCTCGATAAAATATCAGGGAAATGCAATGCATGATATTACCACGGATGTCAGAAAATCCACTGACCTCAGCCACATGCCTCTTTTCTGCTACCAGGCAGGGGTGTGAGACGGTCACTTTCTAGTACCATCAAAGTATCTTTTGTCAGCATGTTCATAATGTTGACACGCTGAGGCTCTTTGATGCCGTTATTAGAGTCACTGCACTGAGGGGATTTTTTTTCTGTACAAAATAGATGTAAGAGCTTGTTTCCCTGCAGCAAAAATATATAATAATCATACATGTTATGAGTTTTAAAACATTTTCAAAAATGACAAGCCTAAAAAGAAATCTCACGTTGCTCATTATAAAAGAAATATTTAGTTTTAAAAGGTTAAGGGTCATTAAACACCCTTAGTGCATTGAATGAAACCTACAGGAGGTCAGTATAAGGTCAGAAATGAGGTCAGTGTAGACGCTCACAAGACGTTGAAGAATCCTGTCTGGTCTTTTCTCTCACTTGAGGAGCAGACGAAAGTGTCTTTAATTGAAATCAGCCTGTTTTTCTTAACTGACAGCCCATTCATCATGGCCAGAGAATGCAGTTAGGCACACAGTAGAGGGCCTGTCTGGGAACTGCTACCTGTATTCAGTTGACTGATTTAATGAACTGGAAAGTGCTTTTGTTGGTAGTCAAAATGTTTGGATTGGACCTGGAATGTAAAAGAAGATGTGATAAATTACTTTTTTCTGTGCATTAATGCCCGCATATTTTCTCTTGTGAGCAGCACACACAGCGGCTCAGGAGTTAAAGTCATATTTTTTGATCAGCTTTGCTGCCAGTAAAAATGAAATTCATCATAAAATATTTTCTTTCCCAGTGGAGAAAGATAAAGATTTTTCTCACCAACGAAGACACTACAAGGAGTTCCGTTTTGATCTGACTCAGATCCCAGACGGAGAGGCAGTGACTGCTGCAGAGTTTCGGATCTATAAGGATCGCAGTCATTCCCGTTACGACAATATTACTCTGAAGGTTTCCATATATCAAGTCATCAAGGAATATCAAAACAAGTAAGTATCTAAACAACCAAAAACAAACATTAAAGGCTGTGCTGGAATGTAACTAAGTACATTATTCAAGTACTGTACTTGAGTACAATTTTGAGGTACTTGCACTTAACTTGAGTATCTCTATTTTC